TCAAACCCATACCTGTGAATTGAACTTCATAAATCTCCTGCAAGATCCCGTAGAAATCTGTTTCGCCTTTCACACATATTCCATAATTACTTGTCGCCCGGTGTCTACCATAGTCATAGGTATGAAAAGTATAGCCTCGGGTGAAATACATCGATGATGTAGTGACCTTTGCAACTGGACCTTGGAGTAATTCGCGAAATCATGCGGGATACTGAGGATCGTCATAATCAACCTGCAACAAAAAGTAATATAGCTAGACATATTAGACTTAATTTGTGGTAATGCATGCATAAAATTTAAGTAATAATAAATACATATTTCCTCAACCACTTGATAAAGTGTTGATCTTTCCTTTTGTCTAACTCAGGTGTCGATATACCAGGTATTGCTTCCTCGACTTGAGTCACAAATTGGCTGTAAAATTATATATATATATATGTTATGTTATATATTTAATATTGAAATATATGTATATATATATATAACTGTGTATGTTTATATATTTACCTTTCAAAATAAGCAATCAATGGTGCTCGCAATTAAGAAGAATATAAAGGTGTGCACTATGGACGTCTTCATCACTCGACCACCAAATCTCTTTCAATTTCCCACCCAATCGCTCAATTTGACAAAAGATGTCTGGAACATCGTCTTCCATATATGTTGGCACGACACCACCATCATCATATCTTCTTGGAGCTCGTTTCCTTGTACGTACTTTCGGTGGAAAGTAGTACGATGTGAAATGTGATGTTTCTTCCGTCAAACTTCCCGCAACAATAGAACCTTCAACTCTTGCTAGGTTTTTGGCTTTTCCTTTCAAAGTTTTCATGGCCCTTTCATACTGATACATCCATCCATAATGCACAGGTCCATGAAGTAATGCCTCATACAGGAGGTGGACAACTAGGTGTTCCATGACGTCGAAAAAAGTAGGCGGAAATATTTTCTCCAAGTTGCAGATTAAGACACGGATGTTTTCATGAAGTTGTTGGACAACTTCCACTTTAAGTGTGCGGGTGCTCAGATCCCTAGAAAATGCTCCAATTCCTATATATTTACAAAACAAACATTATCCATATTAGTATATATATATATATGTATAATCATATCATCGAAATATATTAATTAATTACCTGAAAGTGCTTCATGTACTTTTGCCGGTAGTAGATCCGCAAACGCAAAGGGAAGTAGTCGCTGCATGAAGACATGACAATCATGGCTCTTCATCCCGGAGAACTTTTGCCTTTTCTAAACACATCTTGAGAGATTTGAAACATACCCATCAGGAAACTTCACTTCTGAAGCCACCCAGTTGAACAACGCAGACTTTTTTTCTGATGACAGTCTGAATATTGGAACTGGAACTTGCCCATTGCTTTTTATATGCAGCTCACTCCTTGAGCAGATATCGGGTAAGTCTAACCTCGATTTTACGTTGTCTTTCGTCTTC